CAGTCGGTTTTTAATGCTTTATTATTCTTATCTAAAGTCAATTATACTATATCTGTATAGTGTAGGTATATGCTTGTGTATAACGCATCGATCATGGCTTCAATCTGGCAGTCGGTTTTTAATGCTTTATTATATATATATATATATATATATATATATCACATTCCAAAACGTCAAAATACAAAAAGGGCAACATATATGCTGGATTATGTTCAGTCAGGTAAATCAGTCTTGGATAATTGGATTAATGCTTATTCGTAAACGATAATTGATTATATTGTGCCCAACGTGGCAGTGACGTCTTCCAGGCGTCTACTGGACGTCCAGCAAGGACAATTATCTGACACCTGATAAATAGCGTTATACGATTTTTTTTCTACAGTGCAGCTTAATTTGTCGACGCTTAAAAAAGAAATTAAGTGACTGTACGATCACTGTGGTAAGAGCGACGCTTTCGAAATCTCTAATATCGATGAGGTCAGATACAATGATTAGTAATCGCAGTAGTCATTTTAATGCTGTTTCTACAGAAAAACAAATTAAACGCCATTTGTGAACAAAACGTTGCTCGAAGTTTCACCCCTTTTTATGTTAACTTTCGTATATACGTATGTATATATATGGGTGCACAATTTTACATATATATATATATATATATATATATATGTTTGTGTATATTCAATGGATATGCAAGCGTTTCGCTATTATTGCACGATATCGTGTTACTGGCTCGTCGAAATAGGAGAAATATGTTAAATCGGTTATACGGCAAAACCCGAGGTGCACTTATAGTGAAATTCGGGGAAAGTCTTTGGGTGAGTTTGCGGCGAGGTGAAAGCAGACTGCGTTAATTAATATATTAATCAATGCGTTCCACGAGAGTAAAGGCGTGACCGTTGTATATGGAATATGCATTATTTCTACGATGTAGAAGAAATCTGTTGTACCGACATCCAGGCTTCACACCTAAATTTACGTATACAGAGCAGTATATGCTTGTGAGAACGCATTATATAATTTCACGGTTCGCCGGGAGTTTTAGCAATTTTTTTTGTTCTTTCCGTGTAATTTCAATTTACATATTGAGGGAATTAGAAATCGTTAGCTCGAGTATGACTATAGCGGATAATGAGTAGATATTATGTTTTACCGATCAATGCTTTTAATTTCTTTCGATCGGACAAACTTCCAATTATTTTTATTAGTTTGATTCTTGATAAGTAGGAAAAAATTATACTGGTTTCTTGGTTGGTCTGTGTTGCATTAATGTTTACTTAAAGTTCAACGTGTGTTGACGTACTTATATAATGATTTAATTATTTTATTAATACATTATAAGGTAAGTCGTTAATTAAATTACAAGTTTGTAATTATAAAAATTGCCTACAGTGGATTCCGTGAGTTTAACGTATAATCGGATTACTAGGTAGATGATATTAAAAAATCCTTTATTTACTTGATATAAATTTCTAATTATTAATAAAAGACCTAAAGACGTAACCGGCAACTACATACGGTATATAACATGTAAATTGAAATAGTTACGTATACCAACTATTACGTACAGATAGAGAAAGTTCGATTAGAGTACTTGGTGAACCACCTAGATACAGTATTCAAAAAAAGACCCAACTCAAAGTCAAAGAACGTGTCACAGTGAAAAATAGAGAATTACACAAAATTGAAGGAACCGTAAGAAAATAGGTTTGCTAGAAAAAAATTATTCAAGTAAAATTTAATAATGGTACTACGAATGCCCACGAAATTGAATCTCTCACAGTAGAATGTCTCGGTGGCTTATGAGAATTGACCCTGAAAGACCATTCACATTTATCCGAGATCCATTCGCCTTCGGAGACTATAGACAGACAATTCTTAAGGTTGGTAACTTGCCGAAAAAAAAAAAAAGATAGACAATCATCCAATAGTTTGACAAGTCCAAGACTAATAAAGTTCACCTACAAGAGCTACAGTCCCTTATAAAAGTAATAAACTAAAAGTGTCACTTTAGTATACCTATAAAATAATTATTAATAGTTCTCTCGATACTAGGTACACGTGCTTTATATCATTTGTCGCATATGGTACACGCAATCAGGCAGCTTCTTATCTTAAAGTGAATACGTACAGTCCAGCCATAAACGTCAATCCGGGTGAACGTAGGCGGTTTATCCTCAACTCAAAGTATATACGTATACCTTGCCTATAGCTGGTCAGCCGATCTAGGAACGTACACTGCTGCCATGGAAGCAACGAACGCACGTGTATACCCATATATACGTATATATGTATAATTAATAAAAATTATTATGCATCGCGTACAGGAAACACGTGCGCGCATAAATCTTCGAACGTTAAATGTCAATAGTTGGAGCGACAGATTTTATCAGGGCTTAATGATCTATCGGGATATCGAATATTGTGCGTAGACACGTGAGCGAGAACACGAGTAACTAATTAAAACACGACGTTAATAACTCGGTGCGTTATCACTTCCACTTTGACATGGCCCAACCAGGCTACCCGCAGGGAAGTGATCTATGACGATGGTCCAAGTTGATTCATCGTATCCGATACGTGGATCCCAGATACTCGGATACTTATGTAAGCGGAGGTCAAAAGTGGAATTAATGAACAATTATGTTAATTAATTGTTTTTTTATACTGTAATTATTAATATGGTACCTGGTACCAATCTACAAGGTCAAGATGTTTGGTACTCTGTAGTCGTGACCTATGTATCATGTATGGGTGTCGTCCTGACACATCAGTATCTGGCTCCTTTGTCTTCCGGTAGTAAAAAGTAAATCGTCACGTCCCCTCGGGGTGTCTTTACAATTTCCTGATGTCTAATCAATTGGGTAGCTGCCAATCCATACATCAAGGTTGGTATTCCTGGATTGGAGGATATGACATTGAGCGATTACGTGGATATTTATATGAATTTTGCATTTCTTAACGTATGTTATTTTCATTCAGATATGAACCGTTGGGATCATACGATGGTTACTTTCTTGGGATTTAATGGCGAACGGATCTGAGCTCTACAAGGAGTAACGTCATGAATATATTGGAACGGCAGGTCTGTTTTTCTTGCTACTGTAATACAAGAGTAAGAATACCAAGGTTAACTATCTTGATCGCCTTGAAAAATTTGTCTTCCATGCTCAGGTCCTGTTTGGGTCTCTTGGTACAGTGATACTTGATATAAGGAAAACAGCCAGTCCTTAAGATATGATAATTGCTGCTGCCGACTGGCCAATTAAAATGTGACATCCCTCTTTGATCATTGACTATGTCTGAGCACTTAACAAAGTAAGAGGTCCAGGGTGGTTCATTTGTCTGGATTAGATAGCTGGTCAAGACCTGTTATTAAAATTGGAAAGAAAAAAGGATAATTAAGGAATTACAATTTTTCATAATAATAATTCAATATGGTAACTGACCTCGGATGCTAGTGGTTTTTCAAGGTTTTTTGACGTTTTCCAAAATCCTTTTAAACGTGAGAGGAATTTGTTTCCTAGAATTCTCGAACTGGAGACCATCTGGGATACTCTTGATTTTCAGTGCTTTTCAGGAATTTCTGGCACGTCGATCTATATCGATTCATTTTACGATCGCAAAGAAAATCAATATTAGTGTCACGTTTCAGAATAAAATGGGTGTGTTGGGAACGATGCAAACTTCGAGAATCGCCAGTATAGAATTTCTTATATCGATTCAGATAATAGCAGTGACGTTATGGAATCGCCTTTCTAATGCGAATTCGAAGACAATTTGCCAATTGCCAACGACCAGATGGGAGTCAAATAGCAAATTTTCAATCTTACGTGAAATTTTACTAAAACAAAGGGTAACGATAGAAAGTATGAAATTTGGACATTACGAGGTCATAACTTTCGGGGACAAGCCACAAAGTTAATTATCCAGTATAAAAACAAAAAAAAAAACCTAAGAAAATTCTCATGAGAATCAGGTAACGCTTATTGTGCACATTTCGTAAAATTCCCAGAAAGTATAGCCGTCTCGTACAAGCACGTAGTATGTGTTTCGCCAGGTACCACGTGTTGCAATTTGCATTGTCCCGAACCGGAAGTCGAAGATCGCAAATAACTTCCGAGGCCTCCGGCTACGTGTGCATCACGTGTGATTTCCCAGCTTCGAGAGTTTCGCGTATTAATTGGGATTCTGAGAAATTCCAATTTCGCACGACAGTGTTACGCAAGCAAAATATCTCGATTCAAATACGTTAATTAACACGTAATCAAGCATTAATCAAGCTCCGCTACTAAAGCAAAAACATACTATACGGACCATGTAACTATCCTGGATCAAAGCTCGTATCTGTTTTGCTCTTTAGTCTCTATAGTAAATCCACCCACCATGTAGTCAAGCATATCCCACACTGTATGGATAAAGGGGACTTTTATGATTTCCGGTTGATTATGCGCAGAGAACGCAGAGGTGATCGTGGTTGTCAGTTGCAAGATGTAAGGTGCAAAGAACTAGAGACTTATGCAAATCCGTAGGACGTTATAATGGCATAATACAGAGAGCGTGTACAGTACTGACAATATATACTATAGCGAAGAAAATTATAATATATTTATTTCGATCTTGAATACGTGTGTAGATTTCTCAAATATCTCTATTAACGCAAACAGCCAGTTATCACCAGACATAATTACGTGTTTATTCGAACTATTTTATTTTATGCACAAAACTCTACTGGCTATTCAATCGGAGTTCACTATTGTCACAATATGCTAAATAAATTATAGACGTTCTTTATTAACCATACGACCGTTCAGACTCGAATAAGCACCCAACGATCCGTAATACACGCTGCCATTTAGCGACGTCATCCTAATATATTTACTCTTTTACTACGTTCTAGTGGGATTCCCACAGTTACACTAAAGATAGCCCAGATAATTACTTTATTACCTATCGATCGTATACTCGTGATTTTATTCCGACGTTTACACTCGATTTCGTATGAACAACGAAAAATCAAAAGTGACAATAGTTTCCTATTTGAATTCATAACGCTCGACGCGCTTTCAGTGCGCATGCGCGGTACGTTAAAAGACTCCACGTCGACTCACCGAGTCCACGCATGCGCAGAGTCACTCCGTCAGCCGAGCGAAGAGGCACGCGACCGGCTTTACGTACTAGACGAATATCCGTACTGCGATTACCACTGTTTCATTTCCGTGCACGTACGCACTGTTCCACTAGTCAAGTGTACGAGTGATCATGGAAAATAAATACGTATGCAAGCACGCGGCCCGTCCCGGGCGTGCTGCTGTGCATGCGTTAATGAAACATGGCTGCACGACGCCGCGCGGCACAAACCGTCTAACCAGGTCACTGCCGAGACTAAAATTGACTGGAGTCGCTCGCGTCACGCCGTTCTTTCCGATACGTTCGGCGCGCTTTTACGAAACGTAACGCAGCATTTCTTTCTCTTCGGTTCATTTGATTTTTTTAGTCAATTTCTTACACAATGCTTTACTGCCGTAATTACAGTTCGAACGCTGCTGGGATACCGGTGCGCGTCTACTATCTTCGTAATATGCAGTGAATCTTTTCTACGGATGTTTTTTTCAATTTTTTTTTTTTTTTTTTTTTTTTTTTTTTTTTTTTTTTTTTTTTTTTTTTTTTTTTTTTTTTTTTTTTTTTTTTTTTTTTTTTTTTTTTTTTTTTTTTTTTTTTTTTTTTTTTTTTTTTTTCATTCGAACGAGTTTATAGCCAAGGCCTTTGACCTATGCTCCTTCGCACTTTCGAACAGGTACACGTACCTGCTTGTGCAGTTAAACGTGACAGAGCACCGCTTGAGAATCGGTATCGCATTTCCGGTGTTCGAGATATGATTTACTACTATCCGAGGCTATTTTACGGTTATGCTCGATTCGCATGGCGCAACCACAATGTGGACTAGTGGAACGCAGTCGTGTACTGTGTATCTGTGCACAGCTCATGAATTGTCGGGTTTCCTCGGTAAATCAGGATGCGCCAAGTTGTGTCTCTTGGAGATTATCTTACGAGTTCTTATATATGCTAGGATAGAAATTACTCCCGGGGCTTGGATTTAATATCAAGTGAACGCGCATGAGACTCGTCTCGAATAATCGCTCATGCATTTTTATACTCGTAAACGAAAATTCATCTTTCCTATTTTTAAATCCGACGGCATACCTTCACTGTGGACCATCTGGTTCCTGGTGCTGGATAACATTATTTTCTTTAACTATTTAAACTTTTGTCTTATATCAATGTCCACGAGCAGAACCAGTATGCTAAATATGCAGAAGCTGAGTCTTTAATGTGGTATGCATGTAAGAGACAGCTGATTCTTTTGTAGTTTTTAACGATAATATCCATACGAAAATTTAATTATGTATTACACTGTTCTTTTTAGTAAACAATAGTCGTAATATTTCTTAAGATTTTTTCTTTCAGTTTATGAAAAACAATGTTTTTATTCTTTTCTCAGACTCGTCAAAGTTCTCGAAGGTTGAATATAATTTGTTCGTTAATGCGCTTGATGTCATCGTGGACTTAGAAATATATCGAGAACGTTCTCCGATTAGTCATCCTCTTGTCACATTGCTGGTCTCGTATCTTACGTGCGTGCACGATGTCGTGTCACGTGCTAATAATATTTCTCGATAGTGGAATATTGGAAAAACAGTTTTGTGAGCGCGACAAATTGTGTATATAGTATAAGGAACGCATATTCAATGAAAAAAAAGGAAAAAAAAAAAATGAAAATATCGATTAGTCGTCGAAAAAAAAGAAGATTGTAATAATCTAATAATATTTCGTTTCATAAGGATTCGTTGAAACGTATAAAAAGTAGTAATATAAAAAAAAAAAACGAAAAAAGAAGAGAAATTGGATATTTTCCTACGCCCGAGCGAATTCTGAAACGTAATAACGTAATTTTCTATAAAATATAAAATTACTCTCACCTCGTTTGAATTTACAGTGCACGAGGGATGCATTTTATTACTTTAATTTCTCCTAGCTGTGTCTATCTATATTCCCATGCTGTTTGACGGTCTTCGTGCAATTCTCTGTATTAATTCCCATAACACGTTTTGTGACTTCTGCGTGAACAACATCTATAAACCTGAATCCGTTGCGCAAATTGACTAAAGTCTAGATTCTTCTCTAAAATATTACTCCCACCGGAAGTCAGTATATCTCTAGGACAAATTAAACGTGTCTTCGTTAAAATTCAAAAGTCATTCCTCTTCGGCCAACAATATATTTTCCCAGTTGATCCTGAGCTGGTCGCAAAAGCATCTAACGACAGCGACAAATCGACTAGTGAAAATTCACCTTTATAAAAAAAAAAAAATGTGTTATATAAAAAATTTTTATATTTTCCAATAAAATTTCAAAGTCATCAGATTCGTCATATATATATACCTATACTCGTATAGTCCTTGTACATGTACCATAAATATGATACCCTCGACCCTGGATCGATTAACGATTTATGCTCAAAGATCGGTAGTACAGTATGTGCAAAGAGTACTAAACGAAACTCGACTACAGTATAGTCCTGCTATATTCAGGAAACCGCGTTGCTTATTTTGATCGGCACTACGATTTCACAAGACGAAACAGCCGCGCGTGAACCTGTTGCTTCATTATACGCAATTTATAGACGCGAAGAGACATCCACGTTTCGAAATTTCAATACTAGAACCGTAAGATACGTTTGTAGCCGATAACGGTACCAGACTCGATAACCAATAATCCTTCCACAGTCAAATCCATCAATCGATCGTTTATCATCCTACCTTACGCCATAGAATAATCAGTACTTGTTCGGGACTAGTTATAGCTGCCACTCTCTCCCTTTAATTCTTTTTCACACATAGACCCCTTTTCAGCGATACCGATCTATCGCTCGAAAATAGCCATAATTGAATTTCATACAATTTATTACATATTTGAATTTTCAAAATAATAATAATCATGGTTCGTCGATACTTTACACTGATTTTAAATCTCTTCTTATCACTGCAGTTCGTAGTATACATTTTTTCTAATCGAATCACTGTCACCTTTGACGACAGAAGTCCAGCAACGTTTTAACACCTACAGAGGAATTCGGAAAGATTTACCTGCTTTGATTTCGCGCATCAGTGCCCTACCCGTCTAGCCATTGAAAATTATGCATTTATATAATTAAATTTCTTCCACTGAATTTAATGGCCAATGACTGACGACTCGCGAGAAATGAAGTATTACAGGGATCAAATAATTTTTCTTGCCTTCCTGCGGTATCTTATGCATAGTGCGCTCGAAGATTAGTGGTTGGCGGTTAAGTGTCTCGAAGGGAGAAAGAAATAGAGAAATAATACAAAAGATATTCAGTTTCTCCTGCCGGAGGCTTCTTTTGCCTTTCCCCTTTGCATTCCTCTCTTTCCCATCCGTTTCTTTTACTCGGATTACCCACTAACACTGATATCCTCATTGTACTACTACTTCTTTTAGCTCTACAAATTCTATCCCTCCGCCTCTCTGGCCCCTTCGACCTCCGTCACTCTTTCACCTTTCCTCCTGTATAATCTTCCTTTACGTATATAATCTTCTCGAAATTCAGCCAGAAGGGCTCCCACGCCCGTTTTTTACTTCTTCCTCGTGCTACCAATAGCCGATATGTATATGTCTATTTGGACGGCATTCAGTGAGTTCAGACATTGGTCGGGATTACAATGTTATTTAAAGATGAAGTATGGTTGGTGACTAGAAAATTCATGACTCGGTTTTATTGCGATTATTGGTTTCTAACTTAATCAATAAGGTGTCGATGTAGAATCAAGGAGAAAATTTGTTATTTTTTTTTTTCCTTCTTTTATCTCATTTTCTCATTTTCTCTCTCTCTCTCTCTCTCTTTCTCTTTATATATATCTGTATCGTTGTCATTCTTGCTCACTTTTATATATACGTACGTTAAGATTTCTCTCTCGCTCTTATGATTACCAACGTATCGAATTTCGATGTAGCCAACTATTATTAGGCAATACTTTAATTTTACCTAGTAGCAACGGCGCAAAGTATCCAACAGGCACCGCGTGCTCACCAGCTGCGCGCTGAATCATGACGATTCGTTTCATTGGCGTTTCGTTCAAGAGGAACAGAATGTGGCTGGATGAGTTTATAAAGTTAATAATTAAAACATTTTTTTGCACTTGTAATTACCTTACGTTAACTCGGCATGCGATTTCGAAAGAATATTTTATCGATAGACGTACGGCAACAAGTACTAGGAATGTGCGCAAGGATCCTTTTCAATGTGTATGCAATTTCAATGGAGCTGTAGAAAAATTTGAAAAATTCTTTTAAGTCTGTTACATACGTTATATATGTATACCTGTAACCTCCGCGTATATTATTTAAAATATGCATAACACTCGTGGAATCGACCAACTGCGTAACTATGAGACTCGTGAGGTTTTCGTTTGCGATATTAAGTCCCTACTGCGCAATATGTATATGTTCCTTTTAATAATACAAACATTCACCATCGAGTTTTACTTATTCCTCAGTCGTATCCCTGTCGTAATTACTGCAAGTAATTTTTATGAATTAGAAAAAAAAAAAATTAAATTTTTGCAATAAGTATCACGTCAGAAATACAAAGTGCATTCCAAGTGATTCGAGTTTCGTGTGGTGCAATAGATAAAAGATATTCGAATTTACGACTGGCCAAATTTCTCGAATTATTGCAAATTTTGATTATTGCAAAAGATTTATTTTTTCCAAAAAATTCCATTCCCTAAACAATAGTCCCACGAGGTAACGGTTCCCGTAGAATTTATATGCTCGAAATAAAAGTAGGTTAGAATTTCAATAAGCGCAAATGTATCTATCCAATCCATATCGCTTTAAAGTACCCAGAGCCCAACACGCTCGGATTTTTGCTGCATGCCACATTCTATGGGTATATACATATATACAAGCATTGTTCCCTCAGTTTTATCCTATTTCGAATTACTGACTACACGCCGATACTTAGATAGGAATGTTATAGCTTACGCGTTTCTACCTGTATCATTATTCCACTGCTCCGCTTTGCTTGGCTTCTGTTAATCGCACGAGCACGCGATACGCAATGCAGGATAAGAGCGAAATAATTTCCCGACAATGGAGGATAGGCCTATATTACGTAAATACACGTGTTACACGAGGTGTCCACGTAAACGGTAAAAAAGTGAAAATTTTTCAAATTCAAATTCACGATACGTCATATGACAATGTCGAATGTACATTCCAATGAAGCATCGGTCATCTAATGCTCGATTTCACGGTTCTGGAAGTAATTAGCAAAACCATCACGGCCATTTAGCTTTTCTAGCCTCTTCCTGCTGTCCTCG